GTGTTTTGAGTAGCCATTTTATGTCACTGATCGCACTTAGTTTCGATTAGAGCAATTAATTTGGTTCACATAGACAGCTAGTCAAACGACGATCACACTAACATCGTTGAACTTCTGCCAACATTCCCATCACACACATCACTACCACCGTTCGTCAGCTGTTAGGTTTCATGTAGTAAATGTCAGCTAGTATAAGAAAAAAGTCCGCTCGTCTGCAAGAATTATGACGTTCACATACTATTTCGTCGTTCCATAACAAATTCATGGCATTTAAAACAATCATCCATTTTATTAAAAATAACTACTTCTATTTAGCACAAAATCATCATTACAGTGTGAAAAATTTTATGTGAACGTAATAAACAATAATGAACTTAACTTCGTAAAAGGGAGCGTGTGGGGCAGTCGTTGGAGGCGCCCTGCAACACACACGTGGAATCGATCCCCGAGCCCATGGCTCACCAAGCCTTCCATCCCTCCGGGGTCGCAAATTTGCACCAGACTTATCTGGGAGAATAGCAGTACTGGCTCGGTACATCGGTAGGCCACCACGAGTCATTGTGAAGGCCAGATATGCGTTCATTCACCTCCAAACGATGCTTAATGAAGTCGAATGCATGGCCCATCCCTTAAGGATTGATCAACGTCGAAAGTGTTATCCTTTTATCCTTTAACTACGTAAAGGTGATCTGTGATGTTAGGCGGTGGTCCCTGGTGATTTCTTGTGTACTACACCCATCGACAAATGTTTTTGTTCAATAAGTGTCAAAACATTTGTGTAACAACCGCCTATTGAGTTGTTTTCTTTTTTGTAATAGTAAGTGTAGCATAGTACAATAGTTTATAAACATTCAATTTTTCATGAAATCTTCCTTATTTGATTCAAGTTATTGAGGTAGTATACCAGCTGTACCGATTACTTTTTGTGAAAATAACCCAGTAGATAGAAAGAGATCGGTAAGGTGTTCATTTTCACCCCTTCAATTTGGTATTTCAGGAACTGAAAACGGCTGTTAAATGATGTTGACTTTTAGAGAGTATTTTTGAAGAGGGATTTAATTTGAGTTTTAGTCATGCAATTTCTTATCCGAGAAATGAGAAACATCAGAGGGAACAACTTCGAAATCAGTGCTGTGTAGTGAAGATATAACTCAAACATTACTCTAAATCGCGTCGCCATCAAATATCGATGCCACTAATTTTGATGAAGCGATCATTTTCTGACCTAATTCCGGCAGAGGCTGCGTACAACGTCCATTACGGATGTCTAGGATTCATGTGAAGTGCGAAAGTTTGAGAGCATCGCTTACAGATGTTGGGTTATGATGGAATCTCATCTCGATATCGATGAGGTGATGCAGTGCGACAGGCTGCCACCACTGGCATGTTCAATCACAATTATACACTAATCGTGCTCCAAATCTCAACGCATATCGCTGATGATGGACTATGATATATTACATCCTGAGTTTTTAGCCTACGTGCAAATTTTTCTTCATATTCTAAATTCTTTCGAAGGTAACCGTCGCATTTCCTAAGATGATGCTCGTCTCAAAGGTGGTGTGGTAATTGTAATGGTAGTATTCCAAATCTGACGGCCACTATCAGACACCGCTTTCACAAACGCCGCCTTCCTTATCCCTCAACGCTGTCCACGTTAAACAAACTTTAAACTGAGCTCTGATCAATTGCCCGTTGTCTTCCCGCCGACGGCAATTAGCACCACGATTTCTGTCACGCTGAGGCATCGCCGCCAATCTGAGCTAAGCACCGTATCGAATCACACTCAAGTAGGTCGTTTACTAAACCAAAAAAACATGTCCATCGTTAATCAAAGTGTTTCTTGTGTTTTTTATGTCTTTTGTTTTAAATGATCTTATTTCTATGGAGTTTATTTACTGTTTTTATTTCTCCGCAGGCCCACTTATAACATTTAGTGCAAACCCTTTAACTATGAATGCATTTGATCCAAATTTGCTCTTAAGTAAGTACAATAAGTGTGGAAGCAAAAATGGATAGTCATAACACAGTGTACAACAACATTTAATCCAGCTTAATTTCTTCTTCGCTGTGCTGAAGCGAACTCACATTTTTGGTTAGTATTGAAACAAAAAGTAGAAAGAAGTCGAGATGCATTTATTACTAAGCAGCAAAGAGGAAAAGAGGTATAAAGAGCGGTTATGCCACATGTAATTTCTAGGCTCTCGAAATATATACAAGTGTTATGGCGTGAATGTTAGGTAAATAACTTGTCACACGAAGATTTGTGTCCCCGACACATCACAAGATGATCTCGTTACAAAGCAATCAAAGCAACCGCCTGATTCTTTAGAAAGCGTATGCTAATTAAGCGGTAGCAGCGAAACGTCTACCGGAAAATAGCTGGGATTGAATATGGTAATGAGACCATCATTCACCGTTTTCTCCATGTGCGGTTAATGGACGCAGTCATTGCTTTCTGCAATGTTACTGATAAACGAAGTTTCAAACTCGTGGGTGTTTCGTCATTTAAAATCAGAGTTAACCTCATTAAGCCATTTAGTTTAAGCAAGGTTCAGAAGTATACTCAGACCACCCTGAGTAGACAAGGAAACTGACCTGGCGCCACATAAATCTTAATCAATCGACGTGAATGTCTGCTTTGGGCAGACTTTGCTGTTGCAAAGCTTCTCCACGAGATGGTTAAGTTTTAGTGATTCTATTCAAGTAGAAATTTGTTACTAATTGTTGAATTCTTTCTAGAATTTGTTCAATGCTTACGTTTATCAAGTTTTACCTTGTTTTCCAAAACCAGATAATAAAATAAAACAAATTACATAAAAAAATAAAAAATAGGACTATTTTTAGTGCAAGCTATACACTCTCTTTATGTGGATACCACTCTCACAAAACTCCATGTGAGAGTGGATGTCTTTGTTACTAAGAATTTTGAGAGCTAATGAAATAACTGGAGAATGGTTATTCTCCAGGTACCTTTTAACAGTGCCCTTTGTTCTAAGAACTCTTCACACACTGTCAAAGTCGTCTTCTCATTTGAAGGAATACTCTCCACTAGCAAATCTGAGAAAGCGGCATGTCGCCAGTGTTGCCCAGTTGTCAATCAGCTCTAGCACTGTTGGGCCTGTAGCGGTCACTAACAAAGAAGCAGGTAGTGTACGCCCTCCAAACCAATTCACCTCTATTTTACCTTTGTTTCTTACAAACAATTTCTTCTCACTCATATTTCTCATGTTGACTTTTTTGTTATAAAATTATAACCAATGTGGGTATAATGAAAAGTTTTGTGAAAAATAAAATGACCTTAGTCAGTGAAACAGCTCGCAGCACTTCGCCGCGTAAAGTAGAATAATTATTTTTGGCAATTATATAATTAAAGCGTTAAATTCGCTTAACGACTAAGAGGCTTATGGTATGTATAAAAATTTTATCGGATCGTGCAACAGCGATTTCTATGCGCCAAGTCCAGTTCGTTTTTCACTGTGAACACTGCCTTCTGTGCAGTCTTCTGGCTTGATTTCGATGTTCGTGGATGGTTCCCCTAGGATGTCACCTGATTTTCCACTAAGAGCTATTTAGGCAGTGAAAGTCGTTGATCTATGCGATGCATTGGAGTAGTCCAGTGCTCTAGTGCGTTTTATTGCTAACCGTAGTACGGTATGTGCAATATGAGCGTGGAGTAATTATGAGCGGCTTGATTGAGCAATGGGCACGTAGGGGCGTGGCAGTCTCCGGCGCTATCACTCTCCACCACCACCAGATACACCGACACCGATTCAACAGTGTATACAAATTTCAGCTATAAGCAGTTTTCGGAACAACCGTATTTCATCAGCAACATCTTCCATCTAACCGACTTCTCATCCGTTTATAGTCCTGTAATCTTTTTTTGAAAAAGATTTTCTGTCGACTGAAAGAAAGAGCACCGTGTTTCAAACTAGTGAGCATCCAAGAGTAATTTGAGCACTCATTACTCTTGATGGAATAGTCTTCGTCAATGGGCGTGACGCGTCCTTAATTATCAGTAATTGTTCTGAAAATATTATTACTTGCACCGTATGTTGTTCGACTATGTTCGCCTCTTTAACCGCTTAATCTAAACAGCTGCGGTGAATTGATTTCAATATTCATTGCTCTCAATGTTTTGTTTTACACAACAATCTGGTTGCGCGCTTTCACATTGAAATAAACAAATTGTTTCCACTGTCTGTTCTCCGGTTTGTCATTCTAGGCTGCTCAAGAGATCGTGAACAAATCTGCTCATTCATATTTTTATAACTAAGCACAATCTTCTGTCTTCGCCGAAGATGACCGTCTTACTGAGATTCACAATGAGATTTATTAGGGAACCCTGTATAGAACAAAGTGCTTACTTTCTTCCTTAAAAGTTCCGTAGCAGTGCAGTAGATTCTAGCGAGTTCTTTCCATCCATCTCCTTAGAGCAGCACAAGCACAGCAAGCGACTATGGAAACTCATTGGCGCGCTCTTAATTGCTTGGATGCTGATAGGCAGCTGGCGCATCACCGTAACCATTGTTTGCCATGCAATTTAGGCGTTGATTTTCTCAGATTGCATAATTCTCCAACGTGCCTCTTTGGCATTCACAGCTCTATTAATTAACGAATCAAAACCGTTTGCATGTGTATAGTATACGGTAGAATTGTCATTGGTTCATGTATCATCTTCCTAATCTTACACTATTAAAAACGCGATGTTTATCCTAACGAGATTCGTTACATTTTTAAGGATGGTTTCGCTTGAAGGAGAAAAGCGACCGTCGACGTTCAGTGTTGAAAGTATCCTTGAGAGAAAAAGTGAGATTCTCAAGCCATTGCCGGTAGCACCGGCACAACCTATGAGTGTACCAGCTATTGTTCCCATTGCACCATATCCATTAAAGTTTTCAAATCCTTTCGAATCTGCTATGATGATGTTTGGACAAACCAGGTCTGCTCAAAACTCTTTGAATTTCATCAATTCAACAGAACAACAATATAAGAAGTAACCAGCTCTAGGCTACCTATTTCACTCTCTGAGAGCTCTCCGGAATCTTCTGGTTCCTCACCACATTCGTTAGCCCCAATACATTGGATGAGCACCTTCAGTAGGAAGAGCGATTCGCCAAGTATGTCAATTAGTTGGTTATAATAGAGAGATTCACAAGACTTCAACTAATTTTGGACTCAACGGATGTTAACGCCAACTTTTTAGTTAGTGAAGACGCAAATATTCAAATGGGTCTTAACAAGTGCATGCTACGAAAGCATAAAAATAATCGCAAGCCGAGGACGCCATTCAGCACCCAACAGCTTCTTTCCCTGGAAAGAAAATTTCAGCAGAAGCAGTACCTCAGTATAGCAGAACGTGCTGAATTTAGTGCATCGTTACAACTCACTGAAACACAAGTGAAAATTTGGTTCCAGGTGAGCGAGACGAACTTTTAAGCCTTTCAAGTTTTCTATGTTTGTGAGATACGCTCATAAGATGACAATCTCGTATTTAATGACACATCTCTCATAATTACATACCGCGTTGATTTACTCCGTCTTGTGGCGATGGATAGGATAGCGATGGCGTGACACAACAGCTCCCATAAACAGTACCACGGTCGAAAGGATTCGTCTGTTAAGATTATGTTATCAACGTGTTACATTGAAGTCACTTCTCATCATATGATTATTCTTTCATTAAACGTGCATGTTCATTGTGTGCACCAGATGGTTACCGTAATCGACAAGCCAGTCTCTTCGCTACCCTATTTGGTGTCCTCGAAACGAGTTACTCAGCACGCAAATGATAGCGAATAATTATCGCCACTTCAATAATTTTTTATAAATATGACGTTTATTTATATAATGGATAAGTTAAAAAGCGATCTAATGAATGGATGACATGGTCAATAGTGGGAGAAAGTATGAGGAGCCTCTTTCTTTTACATTTGATGCGTGGTTCATGACGCGAGGATTTTCCTACCAACAATGCGGAATTGTAAAGTAATTGCATCTGTTTCCGGATGCAAGTTATCTTTGCATTATCAGTTCTTAAAAAAAATAACCGATCGCAGAACAATGAGAGACTGCCGCATTAGACGAGTTGGCGCGACGTTACGAAGTGAGTGTTTACGTTGGCAACAAGGAAAAAAACATTTTAATAGGTTCTTTGTGAGAAACGACGATAAGATTGATCAAACTGATCAGTCAGTTGTTTTTTCGAATAATCGCTTTGGAATCTTCCCACATGCACCTTGATATGAAAGCCAAATTTTTGAATGTAATAGATTCCTATGATGTTACGAATCAAAAAAACTATGCATTATTTTTAGACGTGCTTTTTTATGAGACTGATACCAACAAGTTAAAACAAGAAACTAAGAATACGGTAGGACTTACGCATCATGTTTTCATGGCTTATAATTTCATCATTGAGGAATCGACTTCTTATCAGTGTATTGACCGGTGGAATAGCTCTGATCGACGGAAGGATTTTGAGAATAGGGTCGTTCAACCGTGCTCAGCCATTATTCAGCATTGTTAACGAGCAACTAATCGTTTTTGTCTCAATGAATGGCAGAGTTATAATCGTGCGATTCATCATCGTCTCATTCCCACACATCTGCGCTCCTTTCTACTGATTTACAGTCTTAGCACGACGTCTCACGACGAGCCTATTTGACACGATATTTGATAGCTTTTAATGCAACGTTTAATAGCCTAACTTCATTCTATCGACCTGATAAGCGGATTACGGTAGCAGCATTGCAATTGCTTTGTCAATTGATAAGCGTCATAGTTCGAGTACAAGATTGCTTCTGATTTCCTACCACTAAGATCGCCACGTGAAAATGCTTTATCAAAAGTGAATGAATGATCTATCAATTGAAAAATAACCCCCACTGTGTTCGCCGCTTTCACTCAGTGCCATTGAAGGTGAAATTCCACACAGCGCAGGACTGCGTTTAAAATGGCAAAGATTGTTTTTTAAGCAATACGTAACACTAGTTACCATGAAAATGCCGTGAGTAAATGTTATTTTAATTTGGTGTAGTGCAGTTTAATGAGACAATTATGAGATGCAGATATTAGATAAATACTTCATATGGTTAAAATTCTTTAAATTATACAGGAATTGTGTAAACAGCAGTCAGATGGGAATGCCTAGCGGTACGTCTATCACGAGCAGTTTGACCTAATGTTAGTGACTTTAAAACAAAATTTCTACGCTCCACAAAAAAATTCTTTAGAATCGACGCGCCAAATCGAAACGTCTTCAAGAGGCAGAAGTGGAAAAAGTGAAGTTCGCCCACGCCAGTGCCCTTGCTGCGGCCGCTGTCGTCAATGTCCAGAATGATCCGTCGAAGACATTTCTCGCTTTCGGATATCCTGCGCAGTGGTGAATACCGTAAAGCGCGGCAAATGTTGTATGCAATTTCTCCAAATACTCTTTCTCTGATGTATTGTTTTTCTGCTGTATTTACCATCCATTCCCGTTTGTTGTGAGAAATTAATACGTGTTTATCATCATATTCCTTTTTTTCAGAGGGCAAAATTTGCATATATGTAGACGCTAGGGTAATTGTATATACATTTGATTCCGTAAATGCATACGTTTGTATTAGGAATTTTTCGTGCTTCTAGGGTAGTTCACTATTGAACAGTGGTGATCCTAGCTAGCAGTCTACTGCTGTTCTGTGTGAGAGCACTATGAATTCCCATGTACAGAGCATCGAATTGCTGTGTCAGATTAGTCCCGTTTTTGCAACAAACTGAAGATTGATTTGATCAGCCGCAATGATTAGTCAGAAAAAGCAGTGGCACGCGTCGGAGTCTCAGTGATACACATGACATAAGCAAAAATCGTAGACGTCGTTCGACATTCTTCTTAGTGCCATTAGACGCTTTTGATGATGCCGCTCTGTTAGTCGACCCACACAGACTACGAAGAGTGAGTATCGTCCACACAGAAGCCTTTCCATTACATTCTTAGCTTCCATTCACTATATCCATCTGTCATTTCTTTCAACGCTACTCACATCGGTGCATTGTCGTGTCACATGTCATTTTTACATGGTACGATGCTTGATTTGTTTTTTTTTACATATTATTGTCCAAATCTGTTATTTTTCATACGGTACCTTACTAGTCTGCAACGAGATTCCTTTTCATGTCAAACCAAAACGCTAACGATTAGTTGAGTTCATTCGCTTCCGTAAACCCAAATCAGTATTAAATCGTAGTAAAATCACAAAGAAAGTACGTGAACGAGTTTAAACAGATTGTTTTTTTTGAACCGAGAAAAAAATGTTTTTGTTACAACATGATGAAAAGAGGTCAACAAAGAGACAATGGGCTAGGTGAAGTATTTATGCACCGACAACCTATTCCCGATGATTTACATTTAGGTGGCCGATCAGTGTGTAACATCGTGCCGCAGTTGGCTCACAGACAGCTACGCTGCCAAGATGATTTTCTAACGCATACTACTACCTAATTGACCATAGCACAGTAACAGGAAAAGCAAACACAGACAATAATATTGATAGCACCATTAAAAGCCCAGATAATATGAACCAATCGTAAAAATTAAAGCATAGGATTATTTGAAAATTCTAATAGCCAAATCCTGTGGAGCAGAGCTGAAGAACAGAATTAATAAAGTAGCAAAAACCTCGTGGGGTAAAAGCACCAGGAATTATTCGATGTAAGGTGCTGTTTTTATGCAAGACTTTTATCAGGCCCAATTCGATTTTCATTTGATCAACGTGTACAATTCTTTCATGCTAATTTTCATTTCTGAATACAACTCAAACAAGCTTTAAGTTGCATACTGTGGAGCGATAACTATCGGTGTATTAACTCGGCCAAGTACTTTTTGAAAGCTCAAGCGAATGCTATAGCACTTACTTACTTGGATACTTGTATGTCCCTTTCTCACTGGTTGTGCGGACCAGCATAATCTCCATTTGTTCGGAATTTTGCTAGTTTAGCCGTTATGGTTTCCTATAGTCCTAGGGTCAGCCTAGACAAAGTCTGCCCCGGGTCGTCACCACCACAGGCAGTCGCTGCACTTGTGGATAATAAGGTGATTTGCCACAATGCGACTATTTTGATACCAAAACGGTGGTGGATCCTGGTATTGGTTTATTCTTAGCTGGGCTTTATGGTGGAAATGCTGGATTCCTTAGCTTGGGATGCCCTGCTGTGGGGATGAATCACCTTTGGATTTGTCATTGAAGAACTTGCACTAAAACTGATTTCTGTCTGGTAGTGAAGCAAACCTCCTTTTTAGAGATTCCTATTTATGATTATAGCTCTCACTTGGTCTTCTAATAGCTGTAGACTTTTATTCAGCGTGAAAGCTGATAGAATAGAGGCAGAACATTAGGAAACAAAATTGTGACGTTATTCAAACAACAGCGTGAACTACTAGCGGAATCATCATGACAATAGGTGCGTAAAAAATTGGTATAAAAACGATTTCGAACGCTCTGCAATTCCTATAAAGCATAGGTCTTGGAGATTTGTATTACAGTAATCATGGGAAGGAAGGTAAACCTTGCCAAACTGGAAGTCAAGCCAGTTAATCAATATTGTTTCCCTCTGAAATTACAAATAGAATTATGGACACCCTCACCAGGATATAAAAGCAACAAGAAGCACTTTTATTTAGTCGAGGTTGTTTCGCTGATTATTCACCTGTCACGGCTTGACCCACAATGTTGAAATCGATCCCACCATGCGCAAGCAGTTCTGTTTAAAAGAACAATCGAGCGATCAGTCTACTATAGAACAAGTATTCACAACTATTTTTGTTGAAAACGAAGGGCACACAAAGTCTAACGAGATGTGCGAGTGACCTCTTGCGCCAAAATCATTAAGAATAAAGTTTTTACTCCTAAATTCAAAACATATCTAATAGTGTTAAATCGGAAAGGCATGGGCAGAATGCAAAAATCCCAGAAGCATTTGAACCTGTTAAAATATGAGCGGTATTTCTTATTGAACACTTACCAGTGCAAGCTGAGAAATTTAGGGCGGTGTCGTAGACACGCTTTCTATGACAAAAGCAAAGAACTCTTCCTAGAAATTTGCATTGAGGAATCATGAAGCTCTCCTATCGCCAACGGACGTGAGAATCTCCTCATGGAGCGCGAAAAAATAGACGATGTGGTAGCAAGCCGAATGCATTGCTATAATCAAGTCGTTGTCAACCCAAAATTCTACACAGGACCAGATTATCGCTCATTGAACCACAGAATGGTTATTCGTGAAAAACAGCGAAAGTCACCGGAGTCGTGGAAAGAGGTTTCTGAAATAATCAACAGTGGAATTCTTTTTTTGGATTACTGTTAGGGAAACAACTATAACCATAGTAGAACGTGCAGTCGGTTCATCTATTGCATCACGACTCAGCATAGAAGAGTGGTGCTAGTAAGCATGCCCAACACCCTGAAACTAATACGCCAGTGTAGAGCTAATTGTAGGTGACTGATAGCTTTCGTATGAGCTTGCAGAGCTCTTCAGAAAAGCAACAAATTAAGATCGTGAGAAAAATGTGTGTTAATACCCGCTAATGTTGTATAAGTTGGGAAAAGCATCTGCAATGCTTATTTCGAAGTCGTGAATTATACAAACGCATACAAAGCCAAGGAGTGCGCTATTCGTATAGGAAAACCACTGCGTTCAAAAAGCCAATGACAAATGTCGTTGATATCTTAAAAATTCTCTTCGATAACTACAAGCAGCAGCCACAAGCCATACTAAAGAGGACGAATACGAAAACAAAGAGGTTTTCTCTTATGAAATCTGAAGAGTTAGTCGTATCGCAAATGAAGGTACTCTTACCTGAATATGTGAAGAGTCTAGCGCTAGTTTTCATCACAAACTAGCCGGGACATCCACATACTACCAGTCCGAATGCATGGGTCTTGACTAATAGAAGAAAAACCGGACTGTGTTT